TCTATAAAAGAGGGATGACAATAGTAAGTTCTTAATAACTACAAGAGTGAAAATTCTAATATTTTCATCAACAGCTCAAAGAAGATTGTCCAAGATATCCAACCTTGAGTGCTGTGTATGAGTGCTTTATAGTTAGATTTTTCAATCCTTTTAGAGACATGAAAGCAGAAATTGCACAGACTGCTTTATTTTGTGCATTTCTATTTTCAAACATACTATATTTTATCTGTGTTGGGGGCAATGCCCTTGAGTAGAACTGACAGGATGGGGCATTGTGCTCAAAGCAAAGGGGTGGCCTTAGCTAGGAGCATGGCCAGGACATCCATAGCACCTGCAGGAAGGCCACATTTGTGGGCACAGATGCAGGCAGGTGGATCCATGCAATGGGAGGAACTGTGGTCACTCTTTTCTGACTGCTTCAAGGTCATTGCTCCAAATGTTCCTCCTTCAATCTTTTACATCAATTTTGCCTTTTAAAAAAATGATTTCTTTTAGCATGAAATCATATAGTTGTTTCTCCCATCTTAAATAGAAAGAACTGTTTCTTGACCCAACTTTTTACTCCAGTTAGTTCTCATCCCGTCTCTTTTCCTTTATAGCAAACCTCCTTGAAAAGAGCTATTTATATCTGCTGTCTCCAAAGTTTTTTCTCGTATTCTTTCTTGGACATATTTTAATCATGCTTTCACTTCCACTCTCTGGAATGGAAACACCTCTTGCCCATCTCACCACCCCCCTTCATGTTGCCAAATTCAATGATTAACTCTTGGTCCTGATCTTACCCACCCTATCAGTAGCATTTGACATAGTCAAGTGCTCCCTTCCTCCTGAAACACTTTCCTCTGGGCACCACACCTTCTAGGTTTCCTTTTAGCTCCTTTCTTCTATTCCTCTGTTCTCCAAATACATACCACTGGTATGTCCCACATCTCAATCCTTAGATATCTTTTCCATTTGTAGTCATTCCTCTGGTGATCTCATCCACATGTATATCTCCAACCCAGATCTCTCCCTGTATTCCAGACTCTTCTATCCTCTCTCCACCACTGGGACACCTCAAACTTAACATGCCTATTAGGAGCCCCTCTCCTCTCTGCATCCCTGGAATGGCAATTCCTTTCTTTTAACTCCTTAAATGGGTAACATAGGGCTCTTCTCTCTCATGTCATTCATTCAGTCTGAAATTCCCATAAAGTCAAAGTCTACTTTCTTCTCTTCTCAACATCTCCTCTGCTGTGCACTTGACCCAGTCAGCATCATCTCTTTCCTGGATTCTTGCAACAAACCTCAAAATGATCTCCCTACTTCTGCCCTTACCACTTCTCCCACTTCCACAGTCTAAAATCACCAGGCAACCAAATTGACCCTAATAAAAGAGAAACAAGATCTTGGCATGCCTCTGCTCAGAATTGTCCAATGATTCCCCAAGTCACTCAGAAAAAGCTAAAAAAGTTCCCCAGTGATCATAAGCTCTGATATCATTTGGCTTCCATTTCTTCTCTGGTATAATTTCTCACTATTCTCCACTTTGCTTCGTCAAGAGAGGCCCACCTTAGCCAACTTTTATAATATTGCAAGCCCCTCCCAATACTTGCTGCTTTATTTTCTTCTCTTTACTGATATATATTTACTTATTTTGTGCTTAAGTTCTAGGAACTTAATTCACTTCTGACTTCCTAGTGCTTAGAACACTGCCTGGCATAGAATGAGTGTGTAACAGTTGTTGAATGAATTAACTATCATCACAATGGTATGATTTATCTAATTATAATTATTTCCTAATGACTGTAATGATAGGGCTTCCCATCATGTTGTGTGTGATTCTTAAGTGAAGGAGTGCTCCATTAACACAACTTCTATTCACAAATTCCAAGCAACTCAAAAGTCAGGCATGATTTGGTTACCTTTTGAAGGAAAAGATGGACTTCTTATTGGTGATAGTTATTTCAAGGTAGGTACCAAAGAGTCAATGACGGACATAAAAAATTAAAAATGAAAGCAATGTCTAAAATTGAAAATGTGAATTAATAAATATGAGTTCACCTTTAAGAAGGAGATCTCTTTAAATAGACACTAAGCAGCAGATCATTTGGGCTTAATGTTATTCTATTTGGGGACTCTGCTGTGAATTACTTTCTCTGGGATAAGAAGAAAGATGAGTTATGGAATATCAAAGACCCAGGGTGCAAGGCAAACACGGACCTGCTGGCTAATCGGGCAAGAGCAAAGGTTTTAAGAAAGATGAAATTTGACTATGTCCTTACTTTTCTCATGAATTCAAGATTTTCCTAATTATTTCTTGACATTTGGTGTTAAAAGAGATAAGGATTCTCTTACTATCCAACCATTCAACCACAGAGCCTGTCTTTACCCATTTGCAAGCATAAACCTCTAAGTCTGTGAAGCATATTTTCCGAGACCATTGAACATGACACGCAGCTAATGAAGAAGCAAATGATAATTCAGAAAATATACTTAGTGTTAATCATTTCAGACACATATGGATTCATAGTAAACTTCCCAGGTTTTCTTTTTTCTTCCCCACCTTGAGGTTTTTTGTTTTATATATGAAAGATTGAGATATTTTCTGGAAGCTGAAATAGCTATTAATATTGCTGTCTCTCTGCTGCAGTTGTTTATAAAACACTTGATTTACATAAGAGTGCTTTCTAAATCTAAAACACAATGTAGATACAGGTTTATTATTCACCCAAGGGACATTTTATTTTAATTATTTGTGACAGGGAAAAATGAATTTATGTATAACTTCCTGCTACCTCCTAAACTGGGAATAACCTGCAGAGGTCCCTCTTGCTTAGCTGGCTGAGACCCTGAGGGTGACTTATCAGTTAAAACTCAAAAAAGCATAATAGTTTTCCAAATACCCATTCCTAAAGACACGGCAGATCTCCCATGTGTTTCCTAAGACATCATCTCTACCATAATTAAAGCAGAGCTGGGAGGCTGAGTTAGGGTCAATTGTGCCACATATGCAAAAGATGTGGGTGGAAGGAAGACTGGAGCCAGGCAGTGGGAAAGGCTGCTTAGGAGGAAGCTTCCAGAAACAGGAAAACCAAGCTGTTGGCAGTGGTGGAGGATTAGGGGAAAAGAAGACATAGGGAAGCTGCCACTCAGAGAACTTTTGTGGGTAAAGAAAAGAAGAGATGCTTAGATTAGATTTTTTGAAGTTTTGCCATATGATGACATTACCCTTTTTCCAACTGCTATTTTTAGAGCCCACATTAAATAAATACCTAGCTATTAAAATTTAAAATGATAACCAACAAGATTTTCTTGTATACAACCAAAATCAAACAAGCGATTCATCATCACACTGTGGCCAGCACAACTGAATAACACAAGGCAGAATAACCCTTTCCAGATACCTGCTTTAATTCTAGTAGAGATGATGTTTTACGAGACACATGGGAGATCTGTCATGTCTTTAGGAATGCGTATTTGGGAAACTATCAGGCTTTTTGAGTTTTAACTAATAAGTCATGAAAGAGCATGAAAAGGACCTATGCAGAAGTAACCCCAGGGATGGAGAAAGAGTTCTGAAGCTTAAAATAGAAATCTTTCATTAAATGAGCAAAGCTATACAGCTTTGATGAGAATCAAAATTTTGATAGGATAGATCAGAGGAAGGACTTCCATTATTTAGCATCATGTGGCAATTTGGATCTTTGATTTCTTCCTATAAAAATTCCAAAACTTAGAAATAAGAAAAAAGAAGGTTTTAGGAATAAAAACATCAATGCACTATTAATGTTAAGAAAAGAGAATATACAGTTGTGACAGCAAGAACTTAAAAGAACAAGATTTACCAGAGATATGTTCAGTGGATATAGGAAAGATTTTCTAGAACTCCACAAAAGCAGAAAGAACACCATATTTAATTCTGTTTGTTGCTCAGGGGGAACCTCCAACTGAGATGGTCTTTTGAGCAATCTGGTTCTAGTTTCCTGAGAGTGAGAACCTGTTTCCTTAAGGCAACAATCATCTCACCATCCTTCTGATTTTCTCGTTATGGACATTCCAGAAAAATACTGCTTCTGTTTTATAAATGCTCAAGAATCAAGGTCAGTCTAACAGATATGGAAAAATTCCATTTATCTGAAGTGTCCCAAAATCAGCATGTAACCTGCCCCATGTAAAGAAAATCCTGGATGTTCAATTTCAAAAATCTATCCCTTGAGCCTTGAGGAACAGAATCAGAAGCAAATATTTCTAACTGCCAGTGTGTTCTTCTTATTGACTATGAAAAGCCCCAGAAACTGTACAGTGTTTAGGGAAAGTCTGAGAAGAGTTATGTAATCCAGCCAACAGGGTCAAGTTTTATAAACAGGCACAGCATTTCTTGGTACACAACAATTTCACTGTAGGTTATTATCAGAGGCCTACCTGGGCATTTTGTATTTTCCTTAGTAAATTTTTCCTTAAAACTCCCCATGAAGAGAAGGAAGGAAGAGAAAGACAGCATAACACTGGTAAGGTAACTCTTGAGTTGGGGAACTGACTAAAAACCACTTGAACATCTCTTAAAATTGCAATGATTTTTTTAAGTTACACTTGTTTTGGGCCAAATCAGACAGTCTCTTCTGGTGTGTGAGGATGCTCAAGTTATGTTTCCTGAAATGTAAAAAGGAGCCTCCAGAGTGAGATGATTACATTGTGTACAAAGTTTTCTTAAATCCATGCAAATAGAGCCCTCCACACACAGAGACAGAGAAGCAGAGGGTGTAAGAAGTCAGGTAAATTATAATACTTGAAGAGAGTATTTTGATTTTTACAAAATCTTTTGGCATTAAAATTCTCTCAAAAGCAAACTGTGCTCCAAAAGTCTCATTGTTGGAACATTCCTCAAACAATGCAGATTGGCAAACTCTGACCAAATGAAACATTCAGTTAACATAATGACTAACTGCTTATTTTTTAATTGTCTCTCAATATGAATAGATGTATATTTGTGTTTTTTCACATGCACTCAAACTATTTACCTCTTTCTCCATCTGCAATCCTTCTGCTCTAATATTTCTTTCAAATACTTCTCTCTTTTCAGTCTGAGGGTTTGATTTTCTGTACACAAGAATGTAGTCAATTCGACACTTTCCATCTCTGAAGTAAAGTCCATTTGATTTGTTTTTTTCTGGCATTGTCTGCATACAAAGGGAAAGGGAACAGGTTAAAACTGAGGGACACTCATAAAACTGAGCCTCACATGAGTAATGTCAAATAACAATTAAAACTAAGTGGATTTTTTCTCTGTGTTTCATCAAAATTACATTTTTATTAATAAAAAATGGGCAAATGGGCAAAACAGGCCACCTAACAATACTAACTGTTGGCAAGGATATGGAGTAGCTGAGAATTGTCATATTCTATGGGTAACTGTGAAAACTGATATACTTTGGAAAACACACTGACATTATCTTACAAAATTATTTATTTGTAAAACCTACAACCCTAGAGAAATTCTTGATAAAGCAAGTAGGAGACATGTACATGAATATTCATAGCAACATTATTCATAAAAGTAGAAAAAAAGGGAATTAATTGAAATGTCCATGGACAGGCAAATAAATATAGAACAGGCATTCAGTGAAATATTATACAGTAGTGAAAATGAATGAACTATGTAGTTGCATCTAATATAAGCATATATCATAACAATATTGATAGAAAAAAAAAGCAAGTCCCAGAAGACTTTATACTGCATGATTTTTATAAATCACAAAATAAAGTAAATCTAAAAAGAAGTTAAGGCTACATATGTACATGACAAAACTATTTTGGGGGCAAGAGAATAAAAATACAAAAATTCAGAAATGGGGTCCCTCTAATAGGGTAAAGGGATGACATTCTTTGGTTTTTGTAATATTCTAGTTCAATGATTGTCAAATATTTGGCCCAGAATAAAATATTTTACTCTGTATATTATTTATGTATACCTATAAGCACACAAAACACCTGAGACAAAAGTTTCATAAAACAATACTGATCCTTTGTACTAACATACATGCTAATATGAATTTTCCATTCCACAAAAAACATTCAGAGTCAGTAATTTACAATTAGGTTGCCACCATAATTTGAAAAATACCATTCTAGTTCAAAGTTGGATGGTGGTTCAAGGTGTTCATTTCATTACTATGCTTTGTAACATATATAAATTACAAATATTCTTATGTAATGACTATTACATAAGAATTATAAAAATTAGAGGACAAAAATGGTACATGTAACTTTCATCCAGGCTGTATAGGCTCCTTGTAATCACGTACAACACTGAAAGAGACCATCAAGTACATGCTGGTTAGGCTGGAGTCAGGTTTCCTAGCTAGCCTGTAGATTTCACAAATGTGCCTGTCAACATGGCGAGTGGAAATGGAGGAGCTATCATTTCTCAAGACCTCAGTTTAACTCAGGTTCCAAGTGGTGGTATGAAGGAGGCAAACATGCCAGACCTCAAAGGTCACTGCTGGAATCCACACTCTTGCACAAGCGCCATGCATGCAATCTCATCTAAAAGGATAATCTCACCAGGAGAGACAGAAATGCCCAAGGCCCAGGTCTTGGTGCAGGTGTTCTCAAATGACAACCAATCCTCACTGATTATTTTCTGGCTTTTCTCTTAAGAGGTATCCGGAAGCCTACCTGAGTAAACACTTCCTTAACAATTATTTGCCAAGCAAGGGAACTATCCTGTAGCTTTAGCACCGCAGCCCCTGCCAGCAGAAACAGAGCCTCCGCTAAGGCATCAGGAGGTTAGCAAAGCCCTAAGCTTCCGGAGACTGTCTCCTCATCTGTAAGCTAATGGGATGACACTAGTTGCTCTTTGAGGTCCCTTTCAAGATCCTTCCTTTATGCTACATCATGACATGCAAAGTATCTTCAGGAAGAGATGACAGAATGAAATTTAAAAAAAAAACATGGATAGTAGCATATGGTGTTTGTAGGAAGAACTCTGGGAAGTTTGGTAGAAGTAAACAATTTTCTCTCTTCAATGGTTAACTGGCATTCGAATAATACAATTAAGAGAATGCAATAAATAAATGTTTCTTATTCTGTGTTCCTATTATCTACAACCAGTGCATATACCAAGGAGATATTAAATCTTACTGAGACACGACCAGAGCAACAGTGATTCTTCTAACAAAACACTCTTTCTTCCCAAATGACTTATGACGAAATGGGTCTATTTATAATTGCAGTGAGTTTCCAGAAGACAGAGGCAAACAGAACCTCAGAGAGGGTTCAGAGCACATAATCTACTGAGGGCTGATCCATTTTGTGTCACTTTTCTACGTGCTGGGGTTTACACATTTCCAACCTTGGAAAACTTCCTTTTTACAACTCAGCAACACCCAGAATGTAGATATCTTAAAATGATGGGTAGTTTTAAGAATCTTCCTTCGTAAAAGTGAAATGTTTTTAGGTATAAGAAGGTAAGCGTAAGACCCACTGTAAGTTTGTTTTGAGCATAGGGAGAATTAGGATCTTAGAAACGTGCTAGACTCTTGGGGGATAGCAAAAGAATTTTAAGCCCTGCCCCTTGTTTTCCAGGAATTTACATGTCAATGAGATGATGGCTTTAAACAGTCCACTGAAATATGCTTCACAGGTTCCTCCCTGGCTCAAGAACTGTATTTTTAAGAAATCCCATACTCTTACCTCTCCCCCTGCTTCCAACCTGCTAGCGTCATCTGAAGTGCTGGTCAGGTTTCCAGGGTGAAGGAGAGAATCGTCATCTTTGCAAGGACTGTTGACAGCTTCTAATTCATCAAAAAGAATGTTGACATCCTTGGCCACTATAACCAAAATAAATATGTTACAAGTGGGTTTAAAAGTCTGGGATCTTAAGAGTCAAGACTAAGAGAAAAGACATCTCTCTTCGGCTTCATATTTTTTTAATTGTTTCAATAACACCTTGAATGATAGGTATATTATCTCTTAAGAGAAAAGGATGTCAGATGTCAAACAAGTTTGACCCACCAGTCTTCATTAGGCAAGATTCAGGATAATGTGAAGCAAAGTAAAGTAGCTCCTAATGTAAATGTGATTCGCCTTCCAGGGTATCGGGAGGTAGTGGGTTTGCTTAGCTTCTCTGTACCCTGTTATTTAGCACTGGGGACTTTCTTCTCTGTACCCTGTTATTTGGCACTGGGGACTTTCACTTAAGACTTCTAAGAACTCCTCCTCTGTGTTGAAGAGCTATATTTTTTAAGCTTCTATTTTTCATTTAAGCACCATACAACTTGCTAAGTAAACTTATAAATGTGCCACTTGCATGGTTCAGTAAGATGTGTGATTTCTGTATTTTGTTATTTCCCCAAGGCCTGCCAGAGAAAACCTAATGCAGTAACAAAGCATGCAGTAAGGTTTCCTGCCTTTCTTCTTCCTCTAACCAGGGGTTGAAATCAGGAAGTGAGCCATTCAAGGAGATCTCCCAAAACTGATGCTAACAACATGCCAATACATAAAGCATTTAGCAGAGTCCCAAGTATAGAATACCACATTCAAATGCTGAGCACCTTGCAGAATATCAGAAAGGAAAGTTCAGCATTAGTGGCTGAAAAAAATAAAATGCCAGATATGGGACCCTTCTTTATCATCTCAATTTATAGACCAATACTGAAGAAAAAAGGAAATGTAAATTGTGTTGGTGCCGTAAAAAAAAAAAAAAAAAAAAAAAGAAAGAAAGAAAAGAATTTAGATATAGAGAGAAGAGAGATGGGTGACCAGGTTCTGAAGCTGTACTTAAGGGTGTGATTTTAGACAATCATTTAACTTCTAAATTGTTCATCTGGAAAGTAAAGTGAGTATGGGAACAAAATTAACATTTATTTCTCACTGTGAAAGACTAAGTCATGGCCCTCAAAGGTGATCTAATCTCTGAAACATGTGATCATGTGACCTTATATGACAAAAGGGACTCTGCAGATGTGATTAATTTGAGGATCTTAAAATGGGAAGATTATCCTGGATTACACGGGTGGGCCCAATGTAATTACAAGGAAGACAGAAAGGTCAGAATCAGAGAGAGAGAGAGGAAGATGCCACACTGCTGGCTTTGAAGACAGGATAAGGTCACAAATGAAGGAATGCAGGTGGCTTCTAGAAGACAGAAAAGGCAAGAAAGCAGATTCTCCCCCAGAGCCTATAGAAGGAACACAGTCTTCCTGACCCTTTGGTGACTTCTGATCTCCAGAACTGTAAGATAATAAATTTGTGGTGTTTTAAGTTACTAATTTGTGGTGACTTGTTACAGCAGTATAAGGAAATTAATAGGCTTACTACAAGTGTTTAGACTCTGTGACTACAAAGGAAATACGTCAGGGTGTCTTTATACAACAAAGGGTTAGGAGCATGACATTATGCCAGGTACTCAAGCAGAGGAACGAGCCCTTTTGAGGAAGTGCAGTATGTCAAATGTTGTGGAGGTGCCAAGATCAAAGACTTGATCAACTTCCCCGCCCACCCCATGGAAAGAAACTCCCCCTCACCCAATTATTCTCCATTTCTTCTCACTGCTCATCTTCTTCATGGTACTTATGGCAATCTATGATTATACTGTTTATTCTATGCATTTGCCCCATTAGAATGTAAGTTCCTTAAGGTGAGGGACCTTGTCTGTCTTGACTGGTATATAGAGGTCTTGACACAGAGTAACCCTCAACACATATTTAATGACACATGATAATCTGAAGGTGGTCACAGTCTAATCAGGTCTGAGAACCCTCTCTGCTCCAATACTCTATGGTTCTCAGACCTTGCACAGATATGTTTCTTAACACAATTCATATTCACAAGTCAAGAGCGTCACAGTGTCAAATAGACACTGATTAAATTTTCAAGTAGATAGCACTTAAATTTCAAGTAGATGTTGTTTAGGTTTGAATAACTGGACAAAAATTCTATTTTAACAGTGTCAGAAGACCTCCTTGCTATTCTAAACTGAACCACTTAGCTACACGAACTTGTACTCCCATTTCCTCACTGGTGAGACAGGTAGAGAAAACTTCTCTCTCAAGGTAGCTGAGAGGATTAAATGGGATAATGTTCATGTTAGCAGGTGACACAGAAGATGGCAAGAAACACTGGTTTGTTAATTTTAGACCATGGAACCTTAAGTTAGCATTTGAGTCTTATCAACATAAGAAGGCAGAAGAGGCATTTCCAAGTTGGAATGGTTGTTATGAAGGGTGGATTGGGACGAGGCAGGAGATTAAGGGGGAAGCCAAAGAGGACACTGATGTCCATGTGTAGGTGACTGACTGGTACATACTGGAGGGAAATACTACTCCATTCAGGAGAATTGTCTCTGTGCTTTTGCCAAGGATAGAAATTTCCAGGTCATTTTCTGATAGTATCACTTTCTGATACTGGCATGATCAGTTTAATAAAGCCTTTTACATCTGTTCAATTCACCAAATTGTCACCCTGGAGATATCTGGCATTGCCTTGGAGACATTCTTGATCATCATGGTTAAGGGGAGGATCTGGTGCTAGTGTCACCTAGTCTATAGGGACGGGGAGGCTGCAGAATGTCGTGCAATGCACAGAACAGCCCCTACAACAGAGTTATCCCGCTCAAAAAATAGTGCTGATGTTGGCAAATTCTGCTCTACATTAAAGAGCCAACAGTTTGATTCTAGAAGAACCAGCTAACTTGGGAAAAGGGAGAGAAGCCCTTTGCTTTCCTTATTGCTGCCCATCAGAATTATTGTCTGGAGTCATCATGGGACTAAGCTACCTGAGCGCTCAAGGGAAATCAGTATGTCATGGCGATCTGATTTTTAGAGAATAAGTAATCTTAAGGCATCATTATCACCTACCATCCTCTTAGAAGCTTCAGCAGAGATTAGAAGTGTTCGACTGTTAGAAATGGCTCACCTGAACACAAGATCAGTAGAAGTCTGTAGAACATGTAGATGCTCCACAGACAGAAGAAATGTGCCCGTCATCAATATTTCACCATTGTTATTAATAGATGAGCTTTACCTACAAAGTAGGTTTTAGGAAAAAGTACGATATCCTTTCATACAAATTTACATCATATTCCTTAAGGAGAAAATAACTCCCAACTTTTGAACCTAACCAATTTTTAAAAATCTATTTATTAAGTATTTATTAAGTGCCTGCCACAGCCAGGCACTGTGCTGGGCCAGGAACTGGAGCTGAAGTACTGGACACAATAGCCACGGTCCTGTCCTCACGAGCTCACTGTCCAGCCAAGGTGGAGGCAGGGCCTCTCTATGCATAGCATGGATGTCACAAGCAATGCTCTTCTTCCAAACCAGGTCACTTGTTAATGGATCCCATTGTCTCCCTTACACATTTGTCTCAAATTTTAAAATGTTTGATAATTCTGCTATTATGCTCATTAAATCAGAAAGTGCCAAATGTTCTGAGAAGTCAGTTCAGAAGAGAGAAAAAGAATGAAAAAAATCCATGCAACCTGAGTAATGGACTACACTGCATTCAGACTCAGGAAAGGCTATGTGAATGGAGCTGGGCAGCTAAGATGGGTCAAGGTAGGTGACACCATGCCTTTGGGGATAGCAAGGGAGATAGCTGACCGATTCTCTTTTGTAAAAACAGTCACTCCCTCTAAAAAGTCCTGGGAACAAAATGGCAGAGATTCACATACAAACAGCTACACAAGGGTCAAGAACCTCACATTGCCTGGGAGACCAAAAAATCAGCTAGAGAGTCAGCAAATCACCAAACTCAGCATAACAAAGAGATTCCTGAGAGCTGGCTGGCTGCACTATCCCAGAATGGGGGCAGAGCAGAGAAGTCAGAGGGCCAGGAGGCAGGCAGATCCAGATACTTTTATGTGATGGTAGGAAGGTGAATTTATTGCAGTTGTACTGAATCTACTTATCAAATATTTGCAATCATCTGTATTCCTTCAGTGAAAGTCATTTGGGATGTTAGCCTTTATTCATTCTTTAGGGAAAAGAGACTAAAAATATAATGCAAGGTCTCAAACAAACAAATTAATTATCTTCTGCCATTTGGTCATGGAACCAACATTTAGGTTAGGTGCTGGAGGTACAAAATAACTAAGACATGATCAGGAAGCCTCTGACTTCTAGACAAGAGGATGAAATTCAGCAATCAGGGCTATAAAGGCAATGCAAAGAAACCCAAGCAAATGGTAAATAGGTCTTTAATAGAGTAAAACATAAATACCAAAAATCAAATAATTCAACTCACTGCTCTTTTAATTCTGTCCTATTTTCCATATGCAGAATAACCCCATATTGTATTCAGGTACAGGAGTACTTTAATTTTGGTATTTTCGGATGGAGAGAAAACAAAGTAAAATTATAGGTCATTGAAGAAGACATGAGACGGCTGTGCAGCATAACCAGGTATCTACATTTGTTCTCCAGAGCGCCAGTTCATTATACTATTTTTATCCTGAGTTCCAAATTATTACATGTCATACTCAGAATTCTGAAGATACTGCATATTGACCTCAAAGCCTCCTTTGAAAACACAAGAGAAAGGACACCTTCAGGAATAACTTAGAATAAAAAATTAAAAAAAACACAAAAACCCAGAGATTGTTTAAAATCTCAATTGAATACTCAGTTGATTCTTTTATAACAAGTTCATCTTCACATCCAGCCCAGGTTCCCTTTTCGGTCAAAGGCCAAGGTAGCTTTAAAACTGACACAAGGATGAGTAAACAGGGGGTGTCTAATATCCATTTTTAAATAGATAAAAACTAGTACGATTATACCAATTGTCATTTTTTCTCATTCTAGTTTTCTGAGTGAGACTGCTTAAGAGTATC